GAGGGCATCCTGCCTGCACGCTCACAGCAGGACGGGCTGCTATGACGACTTTGGGGAAACCTACGTCATGACTAGGGCTGAGCTCCTGTCATGGTGGTCCCTGCAACCCCACCTCCACAGGTACCTTACTGGGCTCCTCAGCAGTGAAAGCACCTTCCAAAATCACGAGAATGGACAGCAGCTCTATTTATAACAGCTCTAAATGGAACCAAATGCTGAGACTGACAGTGGAAAGAATACACTGTGGCATCCGTGCACGTGTGGAAAGCCCAGCTCCCCACTGGCTGGCATGCAGCGGCAGGGGCAAGGCGAATGCTGCCCAGTGAGCGAGAAAACCCGAGAGTCCCTGTAACGAAGCAGCTGCTGGGAGGGCAACACGGAAGTTGTCGAGATAAGACAATTTCGCTGGGAGTTATTTTCAAAAGGAAAAAGTACTCTGGAATGGATAAAGCCATGTAAGTCAAACTCTTGCAATAGTTAAGATCACTATGACCAGAACCAAATCATAGTTTTCTTCCAAGCTTACAAATACTAGCAGGCAATTAAATCATGTATAAGAAATAGTTTTTGTTAATTTACTTTTTCAAATGGAAACTTTTTTTTTTTTTTCCTGAGACAGAGCCTTGCTCTGTCACCCAGGCTGGAGTGCAGTGGCACAATCTCAGCTCACTATAACCTCTGCCTCCCGGGTTCAAGCAATTCTCCTGCCTCAGCCTCCCATGTAGCTGGGATTACAAGTGTGCGCCACCACGCCCAGCTAATTTTTGTACTTTTAGTAGAGATAGGGTTTCACTATGTTGGCCAGGCTGGTCTCAAACTCCTGACCTCAGATGATCCACCAGCCTCGGCCTCCCAAAATGCTGGGATTACAGGTGTGAGCCACTGTGCCTGGAGGAAACTTTTTATTTTGAGATAACTAAGTATTAACCTGCAGTTTTAAGAAATAATATGAAGTCCTCGTTCCCCTTTAGCTTCCCCAGTGGTAACATCTGCCACATTACAAACAAGACCCCACTCAGGTGCTGACATGGATACAGCAAAGACACCGAATGCCACCCCCAGCCCCTCCCACACCACCCTTCCTCAGTTCCTGGGAACTACGAGCCTTTCTGAACTTCTGAATCTTCTCACCTCACAAATGCGACATAAAAAGCACCATACACTCCCAGCGCCAGCTCAGAGGACACCACCTTAGCCCAAACCCTGGGCCTGGCCCACTCTGAAGTCATTGAAACTTTGCCAGATGGCACAGAGCAACTGAGAAACTTTGCTGAGTTCTATTTATAAAGATTTAATTTAAATTAACAAAAAAAAGCACCACACAGTATGCAGTCTTTGGGGGTGGCTTTCCCACTCCACACAGTTCTTGGGAGGCGTGTGCCAGTGGTTTTACTGCTGGGTGGCCTTCCGTGGTGTGGACATAGCTCAGTTCGTTGAACATTTATCTATCCACTGAAGTACCTTTGGACTGTTTTTGGCTAACACGAACAAAGCTGCTAGAAACACCTGTGTGCAGGCTACTGCGTGAACACGGCTTTGAGTCTCTGGGATAAATGGCAGGAGTGCACCTGCCGGGCTGAATGCTGATGGTGCACAGCACGCTGTTGGGGCAATGGTGACGGCACACAGGCGCGCTGCCTGTCAGGACTACTGAGGCTCTCTGTGGGGGTCCGCGAGCATTTCCCGCCCCTCTCTCATGGAAAGCTTGTGGTCTCAGTGAGAAGTCCACTTTCCAAAATGGTTATTTTGGAAAGGTTATTTTTTTAACCTTTCACATGCAGCAGAAGTTATATAGTTAATTAGCATGTGAGCAACAAACAATTAACAATTGTCTTTCCAAACTTAAATTTTCTATTTCAGGTGCAAGCTATTTAAAAATGTAAGTCACAGTAACATAGTTTGACACTGGTGCTTATGGAGCTTTTTATGATCACAGAGTTTTGTTTTTTTGTTTTGACATGGCGTGTTGCTCTGCCGGCCAGGCTCCCCACAGCCTTGACCTCCTGGGCTCAAGCAATCCTCCCGGTTCAGTCTCTCAAGTAGCTGCTACTACAAGTGCGCGCTACCATGCCTGGCTAATTTTTATATTTTTTGTAGCAAAGGAGTTCTATGTTGTCCTGGCTGTTCTCAAACTTCTGAGCTCAAGCGCTCCTCCTGCCTCAGCCTCCCCAAATGCTAGGGTTACAGGCGTGAGTCACTACACAGATCTGTTTTTAATGAAGTACTCACAAGCAGTATTTTAGCAAAATGCTTGAGAGTATGAGTCAAACCAGTGAAACAGGTTGAGCTCACTGTATTATATATTGATGGGTAGTATGATAAACTGTATAAAATAAATACTAGTAAATGTTTCAAATATTTTAACCATAATTAAAATGGAAAGCCAAAGAATGGATCACAAGATTTCAGTGAAACAGACTACATATCAGATGACATAAATATTAACACATGGTTTGAGAATTACCGTTAACATTAAGAAGATAAAGGCAGATATTCCCAAGATCAGGATTTCTTTGTTCCCCTTGCTTTCCACGTGCAGCTTCCGATAATATGGTCCGATGAGATACTTCTTTATAACAAGACATAAAAGAAAAACTGCTGCTAGCGAAAAAAGAATCTGGCCAATCAAAACCAGTATTCGCAGAACTTCCATGACAATGCTAGGAAAGGAAAAAAAAGAGAGGTGATCTCACTTTCGAACCAAAGTTCTCTAAAACTCAATAAAACAGTCTTTCACTCTTTTTTCCTTAACATGCTACAAAATAAATTAACTGAATCATACCCATCTTTATTTTCAAATAAAAAAAACCCTATGAATCATACGCATCTCAGAAATTATGTGACCCTAAGGTTGAGGCTGGATTGGTTTGCAATCAATACTTCGGTGCAAATACATATTCTAGGATGTGAAAATTCTCGACTGATGGCGTTCCTATCCCAGCCGATGCCTGATAATAAAGTTCTTCGTCAGGCTTCAGCTGCACGTGAGAGTGTCTGTCAGGCAGTGGCATTCTGTCCCGCCGCACCTGATGTGTGAACTCCAGTGAGCATCAGCAAGGCTCTCCCGAGCCAGCTCTGAAGTCTGTGATTCAGACAGAGCGATTCTTGACTATGTTCTTCTTAGAATACACTACCCAGATCTCAGAGCAGATCACCAGGAAAGACACCATTATCCATAGTCTTCACAAACCTCTATTTTACTCCGGTCTTCCACCTCTCAGGCCACAGTTCTGGTGAAAGTTTCCTCCACGGAGGAAACCTATGATTCCCAAGGGTGTCAGCCTCTGCAGTCTGGCTTAAAGCTGGAAATGCAAATCTCAAACTGCCACGATTCCTTGGGGGAATCAGAGCAGAGCTGGCTTGAAGCAGAGAGGAATGGAATGAAGGGATCAATAGCAGCCACAGAAGCAAATGTGATGGAGCGTCATTCAGAGCTCACTGCAGGGCCCACGCCTGTGACCTGGGGTGGGGGGAAGGAGGGAGCGTTCTCCAGGGCCCATGTCTGCAGTCTCCAGTCTCGGAGGGATGCCCCTTTCTGCAGCTCTGGAAGGCAGAGATGGACTCACAGCCAAGCAGGCCAGGACTGCCGTGTTTGGCAGCACCCCCACACTGCCCAGCCCACATCTGGCCTTGGGCCCCACACTGTGGTCCCTGTCTGGGCTGCCAACCCTTCCCCCGCAGCTCCAGTGGCCCCCTCCTCACCCATCTGCTGTCCACACAGAAGGCCGAACAGCTCATCGTGAACCTCAATCAGCTCCTGGACGCTGGGATGGAACCCAGGCTTCTGTGCCCTGCTGTGCTCTTCCACTGCCCCAGCCCAGCAAGCAGCCCACCCACGAGGGCCACAGAGCCCCTTGGCTGGGAGGTCCCCACCCCAGACTCTTTTCGCAACAGACTCGGCTGTGTTCCTCAAATTCTAGCCATGTCACCAAAGGCAGAGCCTGGGCCAGCCTGGAGGCTCACTGCTTGCTGCTCACCCGCTCATCATCCTGTTTGAATCATTTGCAGGGTGGTTTCCTGCCGTGGACGTCTTATCTGCCATTCATTCATTTGTTATTCATTCGTTACGTCTCCAAAACACAACAGCAGCTCCCCAAGTGGGGAAATGTCCTCTGCTGAGCTCACCCCTGCAGCCTGAGACCCTAGAGCAGTGTGTGACACCTATTACGGCAGCTTGGTAAGAACTGTACAATCCCCACTGCTACATCACAGACGAGAACATGGCAGAGACCAGGAGATCTGCTCCAGGCCATGCGCCCAGTGCAGAGCTGGGGATGACCCAGGTATCTGGCTCCAGGGCTGAGCCTGTAACGGCTACACAAACTCCTGCAGCCACCATCCCCAGGGCTTGGATTTAGCTTTAAATCCCAGAAGACTCCCATAGTGTCCATTAAATGCAGTGATGAGGACAAAATATCCAAAGGCTCAGAAAGACACCAATCAGAAACCACAGTGTGCTCAACTCTGACCTCTTTGGAAGACAACCACTCAGCACTCCTGCTCGCCGCTGTCACCTGCAGGTCCACACGTGTGGGCTGCTCTTGATCTGCACACATGGGCACGCCATGTCCACGCCTGTTCTGCCTGTCCCCTCTTAGTGTGTTTGGACAAGATTCCCAACAGCACACGCCTGACCCAGTGACAGGTGAAGTGCTCCTTCACAGGGTGCACCATCATTTACTCAGCCAGATGCAAGGGCTGCCCGGTTCTCACACGGACTCCACGCCATCCTGGTTCTTGTGTACTGTGATGACCAAGGAGCCTGTGGGCCTACTGACGGCGGCAGTGGGTGCTAAGGGAGCCAGGCACCTACCACTATGACAGGTGCTGTCTGGTGGGTGGGCTGCCAGGAGGCTGTTCCAATTCCCATCCCAACAATGACCCCCAAGGCCCCCCACTTCTCAACCCGGGTACCACCCAACTTCTAATGGTGCCCAGTCTGGTGGGCAGACAGAGCCATGACTCTTTCTTGGTGTGAGGGTAGGTGTTTTCCACTTTACTCAAGTCTGTAGCAGCTGCTCTTGCTGCTGACCTGTTTTCAACTGAGTTATTAATATTTGCTTATTAACATGTAAGAGACCTTTATAAAGCAAGAAACATAACCCTCTGCCATTAATATGTGCATAAACACGTTTTTCCAGTTCTTTATTACAGTCTTCTGTGTTTTGTTCTTTACCTGTGAAACATTTTGAGAGGAGTTCAAGGTTAATTCTGAATAAAACTTTAAGGAAGCAGACTCTATTATGTTACAACTAATTTTATTTCTTTGATATTTTAAATATAAATTTTCCCTGGTTATTAAAATTGAAAAGCTTTCCTAAATTATAGAAAAGTGTATATAGTAGAAAAAAAATTACAAATCTACTAGTCTACTAATAGAAAATCATTAACACGTTGTTATATATATGTTTCTAGCCTGTCTATTCATGTTCTATGTCTAGTTAAAATATTGTGTATATTTTTAACAGCTTTGATATATGATTCATTTAGCATATACTTACCCATTTAAGGTATACAATTCAACGGTTTCCAGCACATTCACAAAGTTACACAACTATTACCACAATCCATGTCAGAATATTTTCATCACCCCACCAAGAAACTCTGTACCCATCAGCACTCACTGCCCATCACCCCCAATCCCTCCAGCCTCTGCCAACCAGTAATTCATTCTGTCTCCATGGACTGGCCTAGTCTGGATGTTCGTGTGAATGGAATCACAGTATGTGGCCTTTGTGTCTGGTTCTCTCACACGCGTTGTGTTTTCAAGGTTCATCCATGCTATAGGATGAATCAATGTTCATTCCCTATTACAGCTGGATAACATTCCTTTGCTGGGATACGGTATGTTTTGTGTAACTACTTGTTATCTAATTGACGTTTGAGTTCTTAATCCTTTTTAACTATATGAATAATGCTGCTTGAACATTCACGTACAAGTGTTTCATTGTGGTGTAATACTCATAAAAGGTACCATGTGAACCATTTTTGAGTGTGTGACTCTGTGGCACCACGTGCGTTCACACCATTGTACCGCCATCACCACTATGTACTGGTCTCTATGTGGATGTGTATTTTTGTTTCTTGCAGGTAAATACCGAGGAATGAACAGCTTGGTCACTCCTCGTAATTTACCTGCAAGAAACATGCCTGGCTAATTTTTTTTTTTTGGTATTTTTAGCAGAGACGGGGTTTCACCATGTTGGCCAGGCTGGTCTCAAACTCCTGACTTTGTGATCTGCCTGTTTTGGCTTCCCAAAGTGCTGGGAGCCAACGCACCCAGCCTCAGACCTCTTAAATAGAAGTGATCTCCAGCTAGCATACAACTCTTCTATCGTCCATTTTTTTTCACTTATGTTGAACATTGTAGCCAGAAGGAATAAGAACTGATTTTGATTTTGAGGTTGGGACTAAAAGTGTGACTTTTCTGATATTTAAAGACATCTGGATTGAAGGAAAATAGCAATCATAAGGACCCTTAGCGAATAAACTTGAACCGCTGCTTCCGCCAGCGGCTGCAGTGGGTGCCCTGCCTGGTTTTCTCTTTCAGTCTTCCCATGGCCCACCAAGCAGGCACTGCTCCCAGTTCTCCCTAGTTTACAGAAAGCTGCCAAGGCTTGCATGGCCAGAGCACGGCCAAGCTGGAGCTCTAACCTGGGCTGAGCCACTGGAAAACTCAGGTAAAAAGCCGTTCCTTCCTCCTCTTTTCCTGCCTGCCTGGCTGAGCTACCAACAGCAGAGATTTAAGATCTGGCAAAAATTAAAAGATCTGAAAACTTCTTCCACCCCACCGTGTGCCATGAGGAAGCGCTTGTCAGCCACTCACGAAGGGGCAGGGCTGGGGCCCGGCAGGAAGCAGAACACCCTGGCCAGGCCTTGTACTGCCCTCCACGGGGGAGCTGCTGGTTTAAAGCCTCCTAATAAAACACAGACCACCCAAGACACAACACAAAGTTGATCAACATATTAAGAACTGGGAAAATCACAACTTGAAGAAGAAAAGACAAGCAGTGGACTTCATATCAAGATGAATCAATGCTCGAATTTCATGACAAGGGTGCTAAAGGAGCCATGATTAAAACACGTCAAAAAGCCACAGACACTGTAAACAAATAAAAAATAGCCTCAGCAAAGAAACAAACGTTACATAAAAGAAGGAAGTGGAAATTATATAACTAAAAAAATAGTCATAATAAAGAATCTCTGGGGATGGGCTAGGTGACAGAGTGGACACGAGAGGCAGGATCAGTGATCCAGGACGGAGACAGACTTCACCTGCCTGAACAGAGAGGAACGAACCGAGAACCATCAAGGCCTCAGAGACCCGCAGGATCATAACAAAAGAGCAGATTTCTAAGTTTCTGCAATCCCAAAACGATGTGAGGAAATAATGGCTGAAAACCTCCTGTTTGGCAAGAAACATTAACCTACAGAAAAGAAAAGCCGAGTGAATCCACACAGAACAAACCCAAAGGAGTGTGCTGCAGGACGCACAGTAATAGAAGTTCTGAAAACTAAAGACAGGGAAAACCTTGAAAGCCGCCAGAGAGAAACCCCTCACACTCCTTAGAGAGAAACACAAGTCTCAATGGCAGTGAGTTTCGTACGCGGAACACGGAAGCCAGAAGGGACGCGCGCTTCCCAGGCACTGGAAGAGGAG